ACCCAGATAGCCTATAAATCTAAAAAAATGCTCTAAAAGACAAAAAATGTCCAAAAAATGCAAAAAAAGCAAAAAAATGCAAATGTCATCAAAATCCGGGCCTTAGTAATAAAAAATGAAAGTTAACACATTATTTGTTACTACGTATTATTTTCGAGTCATTTTTGTATTACATTTTATGGGTCATTTGTTTAAATAACGTGCAATAAAAGCGGGAAGTTTGTTAAAATTGCTTGAGGAACGGATATAGTGAAGTCCAGGTTATAATGAGCCCAAATTTCGGTTTCTTGAAGGTTCACTATAGCGAGATTTGACTGAATTAAAAAAAAGTTTCAAATTCTATACAATGTACCACTTGATTTTAAATATCATAAAAGTTGCAAAGAATCGTGAGCTGCTATAGTTGAATACTAATAAAGTTTCCTTTCAGTTGTTTTTTTATAGTTGTTGCTTGTTTGTGTATTCTGGGAACAGTAGCTGATAATATTACGATTCATCAAAATTTAGAAAGTTGTAAGTTTTTGGCAATTTTTTTTTTGTATTGTTGTATGAGTAGTTTTTTTTTTATACCATTGGTTTCGAGCATCTTATCAAAACAAATTTTATTTCATAGATGTGGCGGTCAGATTTTTGAAAGCTTTTTCAATCTATAGAAATACTGAGGAATTGCTAGGTCATGCTCCTGATGCCAGAACTTTGGGATGTTTTCACGGAATCAGATTTCTATCTGCCACTTGGATAATTCTGGGTCATACTTATTTTATTGCTGATAAGTGGCAGTATTTAGAGCATCGTAAGTTATATTTAAAATTGTTTTTTTTTTCTTCACGATTTTTACTTGGTATTGTTATTTACAAGCACTGCTTAAGATTTCCTTTATAAATTATTTTTTAAAATTGAACGTGAATATATAAATTAAGAAATTGTGTTGTAGAGCTCGTCATGTCCATGTCTTGACCTCTTCTCAGTTGTGTGGGAAGAGTTGTTATCTACTATGTCAACCTTCATCTCAGAAAAGTCATCCCACCATAGAATCGAGTTAGCATGTCTTAGATACTAGTGAACTGGAATTACATTTTTGTTGTGAAGATACACTACAGTTGTATAGGAATGTAATACGATATTTTTCCCTTTATTAATATTTTTAGTATTTACTTATCAAAAATATAATTTTTAAAATTCCCACCATGTTTTCTTTTAGAACTATGTTCAATGTAGTTTTCAGATCCATATATTTTCCTTACTTGAAATTTTTAATCTATTTGAAAATCGAGATAGAAAGTTAGTAACGTACTTCCTTCTCCTATGACTCCCCATACGCTAATGGAAATGGTGAAAGTGTGCGAAGTGTTGCAATAGGGAGAGAGTTCGGCACTACGCCACCTGTAGCCCTTCCGATCGCCGAGTGAATTATCAGTTTTAAAAAAATGCTCCAATTCGATGATTTGTAAAATCACCCAAAATTTATTGGAGTCAAAAATGAACAGTTGGTTGGTTCTTAATTGCTCAAAACTACTTAATAATTGAAAGCTACTTATTTCCACCAAGTTTTAGAAATATTTTCAGGAATCATCAACAAAGGATTCTGCTCACTGAAAAACCATAAAACAATATTTTCAAAATAACCACCCTTTGCAGCAACAATAGTTTACTAGGAGAAAAAAAATAAACAGACACTTGTGCAAATATTTCAGTTTGAATGATCAGAATACATTGTTTTATTGTCAGCAGAGTCATCTGTTAACTATCTTTGAAACGAGTTACAAGATTTCTAAGCAGAATTCTGAGGCCTATCACTTTTCTGGAAACATTTTTCAAATCAACAGACCTATTTTGGACATCCAATACTTTATTATATTAGGATACTAAAATATTCTTCAAATATTTAAATATCTGTGAATAGTATAGTTTTTTTTTACCTACAATATAATCTTGTACTAGTTTTTTCAAATTTTTTTTAAAGAAAATCAAATGTGACATAATATTTATAAATTACATTAGTGTTTCATGTTATATTAATGACAAGAAAGGGTAAATCAAGTCAATTTTTGTTCCTGGTATAATGAAATATGTTCTTTTACACTACTTGGTGTAAATGAGTTATCATAGTTGATCAGACAGTCCAATGCTGATGATTTCTCCATAACGACTTCCGATTTATCTTTGAACTCTTTTCACTCATTTCAGGAAAATCAGACTCCACTGAGTTAGCCCATATCAACCGCGACCTTCCCCGCTTTCTTGTTCCAGTGGGTTTAAAAAACAGTATCTTTTTTTATTGTATTGCCATCAGTCATTCGAATCACGCGGGTCATCCAATTCATTCCAATTTATTTTTATGCATTTAATAATATCGCATTATTTAAAAGTTTTGAGTTGCAGCTGTCACCTCAAAAAAAAAAAAAAAAANAAAAAAAAAAAAAAAAAAAAAAAAAAAAAAAAAAAAATTGGTAGCAGCTAATTTAAGCGTCGTAGATTAGCTGCCACCACTTTTTTATTTTCAGTAACATTAACACTTATAATAACAGTAAGATGTGCTATGCATAAGAGTCGGTATAGTTATTTTCATGATACAATAAAAATAATAATCATTAATTTAGAATGCATTCATATACTAATTCCTAAAATAAAATTAGTTTCATAATTAATTACGCGCACAACATAGAGAGAATTGTAGGATGAATTCAAGCTAAGCATAGTGATACAGAAACAAATCGAAATTAAATATTATAAAATTATTTAATACAATTGACCGATTAATGTAAATCATTTTATTTGGAGAACATAATTGAACAATTATGTAAATCTTCTATGAGAACATTCTTATAACAAATTCATAAATATTGTTTATGCATCTGAGCTTGGTGTGAGCTTTTTCATTATTGTTTGGATTTAACTACATTTTTGAAAGAATGATCTATTCGGTATTAAAGTGAAATGGAGTATTCATTCAACTAATTTTCAGAAATTTTCTACACTGAATTCAGATAGATATTTCATCACAGTTTTTACAGTGCAACGTTTTAGTCACAAAGGATTGTGTTCGATTCTAAAGGGCTACTACTGCATCTATTGATTCAGCTAAATCATTTTACTGATATATATTTATTGTTACAAGATATACAATATGTATTTGTGGGAAGTGTTTTTATCGACAATGTCAACCTTCATCTATGAAAAGGTACCACACTATAGTATCGAGTTAACATGTCTTATATACTAGTGAGTTGGAATTATATTTTTGTAGTCTTAGATACACTACAGTACTCCCCCATCAGAATTTTATCTGTGATAGAATTCGTTGAATGGGATACCATTAGTTTATTCATTACTGTTTTGTGAGAAGTCGGGAGAGCTGTATTAAGATCACCTTACTTTTGAGTGCAGATTGTGAGAGCTGTATTAAATTCACTGTCTTTCCTGTGCTGCCTTTAGAAATCGAGTGTATACGTTGTATGTGATAGAGACTGAGAAGCATCAGCGTGATTGTTGCAATCACAAGTCAACTGTGAACCATCCATCGAAGTGGTGTTACAGTTAAGATAGGCATGTTCATTTCGAAGTGGGAGTTTTTGGTCAAGGTAGGCATGTTCACATCACGCCCAATGGTCATCAATGTGGGAAGTGTTATTATCGACAACATTCATTTAAAAAAACGCATCCCACCATAGAATCGAGTTAACATGCCTTAAATATTAGTAAATTGGAATTAAATTTTTTTAGTGGTAGAAACACTTCCTATTGATTGTCTAATAATGCAAAAGAAATGCTTCAGATATCGCTTTTCAGACAAAATTTGCATAACTTGGTAAATGTTAGAATTTTTGTTAAATTTTTAATGTATCTTTTTTTAATTTTCTTCTCTTTATTTACTTAACTGAGTTATTAATAATATTATTGCATCATAGCAAACTCAAAATATCCCTTAATTGTGTTGTATATCTTTTCAGGAAACTTAAAGAGATTTACAGAAATATTTAATCATAATTTACCGGTAGCTGTCATTGAAAACTTCACCATACCTGTGGGATCCTTCTTTTTTATGAGGTATGGTTCACTAGGTAGTTAAATCTACTTTGATGCACTTATATATAAGTCTCATTTTTACTTTTCATTCAATTGATTACATTCATTATATACATCATAATACATTTTTACTTGTTTTGACTAAACCTGTATATAAATCTTAATTAAATTTTTATTTTTTTAAACTCTGTACCTTAAAACTTATTCCAATGTTACATATGTTGTTTTGATGCACCCTATACATAAATCTTAATTATATTTTTAATTTTGAATCACTGTACCGAACCATACATAAAATATAACTTATTTCAACGGCACTTTACCTGTTTTGATACGCCTTGTATATATTAGTCATATTTTTACTTTTTAAATATTATACCATACAACTTATATGCATTTAATTCCGATGGCTTTTTACTTGTTTTGATACGCCGTGTATATAAATCTCATTACATTTTTACTTTTTAAACATTGTACCATACAACTTATAATATGCAACTAATTCCGATGGCTTTTTACTTGTTTTGATATAAATCTCATAGCATTTTCACTTTTTAAGCATTGTACCACACAACTTATAATATGCAACTAATTTCGATTGCATTTTATTTGGTTTGATATAACCTGTATATAAATTTTAATCATATTTTTACCTTTCAAACGTTGTATGATGTAACTTACAATATGTAATTAATTTCTTTCTCTTTTTACTTGTTTTGATACAGCATGTATGTAAATCTTAATTACATTTTTGCTGTTTAAACGTTGTAACATACAGCTTATATTACAAAATTTATTTCAGTGGTTTTTTACTTGTTTATACTATATGGAGAAAATTGGAAAAGAATGATGGGAATTTGAATTTGATTATGTTTCTTGTACGTAAATATTTGAGGTCAGTATTCTTCTCTTTTGACATTAATCTNAACATGAAAAAAATCGGTATTTACTTTGAGAACATTCTTAAAAAAGTTTATAACAAAATTAATAAACTTACTAAAAATAATAACTATTTAAATTGGAATATTAAAAATAGCATTCAGGTTTTAAATACACTAAAAACTTTAAAAAATGTAGATTCAATTCACTGTTTTGATTTCGAAAACCTCTATACTTCCCTTCCAACTAATAAAATTCATGATGACCTTCTTCAAATTCATAGCATGTTTAATCTCAGTGATATTATTAATGAAGATAACTGGAACTTTCTAGTACATATTAACCTTAACAACAATTATATTCTTTTCAATGACCACCTTTTTCAACAAATTAATGGTATTCCCATGGGAAATAATTTTAGTACTAACATCTGCAATATTTTTCTTTTTCTACAAGAATATAGATTTGTAAAATCACATGTTAATCTTCCAATTGATTCTCTCTTTCTCAGATTCATTGATGATCTATTAGTTATTAATTTTAATGATTTCGATATTCTGGCAAAACATATTTATCCAAATGAATTAATTCTTAATAAAACAAATAATAGTAGTTCTTCAGCATTTTTTTAGATTTGAAACTTAATATTAATGCAGATAAAAATATTACATTTAAACTTTTTGACAAAAGAAATGATTTTAAATTTCCAGTTAAAAAATGCATTGATTTTAACTCTAACTTAGCCAATGGCATTACTCTCGAGGCTGAAGTTCGGTTCCTTTACTCGGTCATTCAATTGACAACACTTCAGAAATGATTAAGAGACGATCGGGATAAAAATCGGATTTTTTTTTTAAATTCCCTATTGCGCAATTGCAAAGTAGTGCACTATGAAATGTTAATTCATACATACTTAAGTTTTAAACATAAAACCAAGACGGCAGATGTAAATAATAAAGTGTGAGAAAATATCTAATTTTGAATAATTAAGAACAAGATCTAGAAAAAGAAATAACATAAAAAGTTTAGTTTAAGAATTTTATGTTAGACATGTATATATGTACATATAATTCTGACCACAGTAAAATTTTAAAAGCTAAAAAGAATTTTAAAAAGTTGCTCCTTAAGAACAAATTTCCATTAATAAAACAATATATTACATTTTAGTTTGGCAGGATAATTGATTCTAAAATCAATAAATTGTATTGAATACAATATCACATAGCAGTAAAATTAAAAAAAGCTACCAATTTCAACTCGAATAATATAAAAATTAAAATCTTGCACTGATTAATAATAATTATACTTATTAATAAGGCATGAAAACAATTATGAATACTATTGTTAGAGTCTTTGTAGACTTTTTATGATGCATAAATACTTATTTTGTAGACTTCTTAGTTTTTTTTCCAATGTAATGAACTGTTTTTTACCTTAAATTTCTGGAAGAGTGAATGAGAGTTTTGGTCTGTGAAAAACCATCATACAATGAATGTTATTTATAGGTTCTTTTTTATTAAAAAAATATAAGTTAATTAAAACCACTTAATTGAACAGTTAATTTAAAGTTTTTTCAAACAAATGTTTTTTTATAGTTTTTCAAATAAAAAGTATTTCTAATTTCCAAATTTTTATTTATTTAAATTAAAAAAGATATATTATTTGAATTATTTGAATTAAAAAGATATATTATTTGAATTATTTGAATTAAAAAGAGATATTATTTGAATTAAAAAGAGATAATGTTCATAGAGAGATAAAAAAAATGCTGAAAAAGAGAGTGTTTTAAAATGAAACGAATTTAATAATAGCAATTTACCTAAAATTATTTATTGTTATTATAACTTTTTTTTTAAATATTTGTTGAAGCACCCTTTTTTCTTTCAAACTATAAATTTTTTGAATAATTTTTCAAATTTTTTGAAGAGTGAGTTTTTAAGAATTCACCATAAATGTGAACTACATAAATACTTAATTCTCTTTTCGATTTTAGATTGACTCCAGCTCTTGGACTGATAATATTGATGGTCTTTGCTTTGCCCCTTATAGACGCTGGACCTCTATGGTATTCCATTTTAAATACAGAAGTTCACGCATGCGAAACATTTTGGTGGACAAATATTTTGTACGTAAACAACTTGTGGGAATCTAAGAGTACAGTAAGTTTTATTATTTTAAGTGGGCATTGGAACTTTCAAATAGTTTTTCAATTACAGTCAAACCCCGCTATAATGAACCTTTAATAGACCGAAATTCCGGTTCACTATATCCGCACCACAAGCCATTTTGACTCATTTTTCCTAATTGTTCCCTTTTATGACACATTATTTAAATAAACGACCCATGAAAAAGAAATACAAAAATGATTAAGAAACAATATGTAGTCGCAAAAAATGTGTTAGCTTTTATTTTTTATTACTCTTTCATCGTCTCGCGTACAAAAAATTTAGTGATGAGAAACTGAGATAGAAGAAGCAAACAAGAAAAAATGCTTATGGCTACATTCCACGCAATAGGAGGTTTTAAAAATCGGTGTATCTATTTTGCGTAGAAATTTCAAAATTACAAAAAAATGAAGAAATCTATTCATTTTTGTGTGAACTCTATCAATCATGTTTCCAATTTTCTTAATCTGCAAAATTTCATAAAAAATATTTGAAAGTGAATGCAAAATTTTGTTAACATGTCATTCAAAATGTCCCTTTCAGAACAATGTGTTTTAAATAACTTTATTTTTAGTACATTTTTACACAAATAAGATCAATAACACTACACAACTACTTTCTATATAACTACTGTAACTACTGTCACAAATAAGATCCATAACACTTGTTACACAAAATGATTTCGATATTAACAATTTAAAATGCAAAATTTATTAAACCAGAGCATTTTTTTTATAAAATTTTATTTTTTCTGTCTTTGTAAACATATGGATACTTCTGAAATCATTTTAAATAATAAAGCGCTTAATTTTATTTGTGAGCAAATTTTTAAAATATTAAAATAATTTCTTTCATTCGTAGAGTGAGGTGTATTTTTAATTAGAAGGAATTAAAAATGTTTTTATTTAATAAATTTGTGATTTTCTTAATACATTTTTTTGAAAGGTATTTTGGTTAAGTATAGCTGATAGTCAGAAACTTTGGCTTATATAGTATGAAATGAAAAATAAATAAATAAATCCAATGCAAATTTTCTTCTGGGAAAATTTAATTGATTGTGCTTTCCTAGTGTGTATTCCATACTTGGTACTTGGCAGCATTAATGCAGTTTCATCTCATAGGAGTCGTCGTTTTACTGATTTGTTATAGGTAAGAAATTTATGTTAACTAATAGAAATATTTTATTTTTACATTTAATTTCATTTTTTATTTTTCTGATTTTTTGATCTTGAATCTGATTTTTTATTTTTTTTGTAAAGGAAAAAATATCGATAGTTGTTTGTTTTAAAGCACTACTGTTTTTTTTAAAATCTTTTGGCACAAAACACAAATTTTTAAAAAAAATTATATATGCAGTATTTCGATACGGTTTTATCGGAAATCCCCGTTATTTTTTCTTCGTTTTTTCGGCAACAAATGTGATTTGGTCGAACGTGATAATGAATTGTGATTCGGTTGAATACCGAATTTTCGGGGCCAAATAGCAACACTGGAACCAAAGTTTCAGTATTACGAATAATAACTTCTGGAAAAACGTAATCATAAAACAATGCTAAAAAATAAGGCCTATTAGAAACGCTTTTGAAAATGCCGCGCTATCGTAAAAACTAATATGTAAAAAACAGAGAAAATAAAAATCGATTTTAATTTTCGGAAGAAAATAAAATCGATTCTTAATAAAATAAAATCGATTCGAGATAAAATCGACCTTCCCAGATTTCCCATTACCAGAAAAAGTAAAGAAAAAATAATTAAGTCTAACAGAAATGCTCTTAAAATTGCTGCTTTGTAATAAAAATGTCAATAAAAAGAGAATATTTTTTAAAGGAAAAAAAAGCTAGATAGATATAAAAAGAGAAAACGTTTTTAATTTTTTAAATGAAAATCTTATGTTGAAAATTTAAATTTAAATTTTTCCCATTGCCATTTTTTCAGAAGAGAAAGTATTGCCATGAAAAAAAGTTTATTAGTAACATTCATTAAACAAATGCTGTGTCATAATAAAAATGCCTAGAAGAAAAAAGAAACGTCAATTGAAAAGAAAAGCAAAAAAAAAAAAAAAAAACAAATTGTCCTTTATTCCTAAAACAAAACTTTAACACTGAAAATCACAGTTTTCTGTGTTACCGGTCATCTATATTTCAGTACAGGGAAAAAGTGACAATAAATTAATAGTATGAGGCGTTCTGCTCATGATGCTACGTTATATGAAGCGCTAAGTAAAAATGCTACGTTATAATAAAACAGCAAAAATGAAGAAAAAAAATCCTTCTCAATTTTTTGAGCTAAAAGTTTTGAAAAAATGATGAAATTGACTTGTATGAATATAAATTAAAAAAAAAAAAAAAGCAGACGTGCAAAAACTAGTGGTTCAGTGTAAAGTAATCTAGTCTCAATTCTTCAAATTTCGTTTTACCACTTGTCTTCTAGAAGGTAAAATTCCAAGCCATGTGCAAAAAACATAAATTTTAAAATTTAACAATTTTTTGTAAAAACTATTTCGTATAATAAAAACAATACTATAATATAATTAAAAATATGATTTTATATTATTCTTTATCATGTTTATACAAAAAAAAAACCACTTTGCTGAATATTTAGCCGATTATTTCACCAACTGAATTTTTGGCAAAAAGTACTTGTTACATCATTAATTTAAATGCAATGTTATTGCAACCTGAGAAATTTACAAAGTGGTGCAAAACGTGAATTTTTAAACTGCTCGTTATTTGTAATTTTGATTTCAATTTTTTTGTTGCACAAGTGCTCTTTTACGGTGAAAAAAGGAAAACGTTCACTTAACAAAAAGAATCTAACAATCAATAAAAAAACCATACTAAAATACAATGAATTTTATTTTAAACTTATCAATTTCGTTTTTATTTTAGACTTTTGTTTAAACCTTATAAATTTTCTTCCATCAAAATATTTGATTTAAATTTATATTACTTAATACCTGGGTGTACTAAATTTTTTTCTACTTTCATCGCAGTTTTCTTTAATTAGAACTTATTTTTAAAATGAATTTTTATTTTGCGTGATATGATAAAAAAAAAGTTTCTTTTCACCAATGTTTATTTATTTATTTTGATAAATCTATTTTTGATATAAGTGGAAATTTTTTAAAAAATATTAGTTTCTTTCATTTTTGAATGAATTCTGATAATTGAACGCCTTTAATTTTCTGAAAATTAACTACTAAGTTTATTGATGAAAAAAATTAGAACCCTAATGTTTAAATAGATGTTACTACATTTACTGTCAACCTATCTAAATACATGTGCGGCCCTTCATGAGTCAACCTGCTGTACAAGGGGCCCTTGACTCAAAAAGGTTGTGCACCCCTAGACTGTTGCTACGCTGCATACCACAAACGAATAATAAAAAAAAAATTTAAAATAATAACACATAGAAACAATAGATCATTGTTTACCTTATTCGATTCCTGAGTATGACGAAGTACGTTACTATGTAAACGTCACCATTGTACGTTACCTTGTATACATCTCTTTTGTATGTTACCCTGCATATGTCAAAGATCGCATTTTAGAACAACTTTAAAGTGTTATTTATTCCATTTTAAACCCGATTCTCAAGGAATAGGTAAAAACAATAGGCATAATATTGTTTGAAATCTAGTTTTTCTTCTATCTTGTTATTTCTTTATTCAATGCTTTAATTATAGGTGGAAAGTTATGGGAACATTTGTAGGACTTATCATACCTGTTGGCAGTTGCATATTGACTTCTTTTATTGCTGCCTGGCACAATTTCCCTATGCCTGCACTAGGATACGTGAAAGATATGGAGTATGTTTCATTTTATTATCGTACCTCTTTTTTCAAAAGGAAATAATCATGGGTTTTAAACTTTCAACAACGTTATACATAATCTTGCCGTGAAGAATCACCTACGCTTTAGAATGGACACAATTCTTAAAAATTAACAAAATTATTAAATTTTTCAAAAAAAATTACTTATTTGGCAAGATATTTCCCGCAGCAGATTTCTCATTATTTTTCTTTGCAAATTTTTAAGAGCCTAATGCATGCATCATTGAAGTAGCTTTGTAAATATTTATTTAACCGTCGTTGAACCGTCCACCCAATTTTTGGTTTTCTATTCCTAATGTTCAACTCCGTGGCCTAGTAACATTGAACCCATCCAGAAGACAGGCAAACTCCTGGATAAGTACACCCAGAGATAGGGTTTATTATGGTTACATGGAGGACTTTGTGACTCTACAGATTTAACGTGCACCAGTGACTATTTACTTAACGGGGAGTTTTCGGCCGGCGAGGATCGAACCCACGACCTCTTAGACATGGGCCCAGTTCCGTGCCCACTAGGATATCCCGGCCTTGTAAATATTTAATAATTAGAACACATTCATTTTCCTAAAATTATCGAAAAATAATAAACCCATTTTATCATTATGCGCCATTTTCATAATCAGCACTAGGAGAGCACTGAAAAGAGAGGCAAAACTCGGTTTGTACTGCCAAATAGTGATGAATAACTGTTAAAAGCTCACAACTAATATAAAAATAGCCTATAATTCACTAAAAAACCGACTTCTATCGGCTTCAAAGAACAATCAAATTCGTCCATGAACCAGTTCAGTAACTTTTTATTTCATGTGATCTTACAGTTCCTGGCCAAATTATTACACGCCCAATGAAATTCTATGTAAAATCTTAATTACCAGGTGGTACTATACAGATTTATTGTTTTAACAGCTTTATTGTTTTATGTTTATAACCGTTTGCACTTGTTTACGTCCGTGTATCAATGGTTTAAATTAGACGATATATAATATAAATTCGACGATAGGATAAATTGGATGATATATTTTATAAATGTAGAATAGAAGTGTAGAATGTATTATATTAGTATATTTAAATAATTATATCAAATTATTTGACGCACTGTAGTGTTTCAATAATGACATGTTTTGCACGAGTTTATAGGCAATACTTTTATATTTAAACATACATGTAATGGGTTTTTATTCGGGAGATTTTTTATATTCTTCCTATTTATTTTTAACGTATTACATTACAGTGTTAACCCATTGATACACGAACGTAAACCGGTTTCAGTCACATTGACTATTAACATTGACTATTGCTGTATAAGTATCACCTGTATTTTTTTTTCCTTCACCAGATTTGCTGATGATTATCTCAAAAAATTGTATATAAAACCATTCAACCACATCGCAACTTACTTCATCGGAATGCTCACAGCTCATCTTGTTTTAAAATACAAGGACAAGAAATTGGAAACTGTAAGTTATTCTTACTTCAATTGCATTTAATCTATTTGTAAAATATATGTTTACACACATCCGTTTGTATGAGAAAAAATTCGTAATTTCAACATCAATTGCCAGTGGGCAAACAACGAAAATTCGTCATTTGTATATGACAGTCAATAATTTGTCAAAATGTTTGGTTAATGATGGTACAAATAATGCCAGAGGTTTCAATTGCATAGATTAAGCTTCTAGAAATATTGAAGTAACATCAGTATTAGGCAGGTGTGTTTTAAGAAAATCATGCAATGTTAAGATAGAAATTATATTATTGTTTAAAATTAAGAAACCACTCATTAATAGGACAAAAAAGTAATTTATTTATATTGAGTTTAAAAATATTTGGGTATGTAATAAAAAACAAAATCAACAAAAAAGTTGTGATCTCCTTATTACGATTACTGGTTACCCATTGTTCAAATGCTTTTTCTTTCTGGATTGACTCCGTTAAACATTTCAAATCATGGGTTGCATAAACTGTCTCCATGGATGTTTGTCGTACGAATTGATTTTCATATCCTGCCTATGTACGTATTTCAAGACGTCACAAAATACTTTCCCTTCTTCATTATTCATATTTACATTAAAATCACCGTCAAGTCAGTCATTATACGTTAATAGTAAAAAGAATATAAAAATACTTTATAATATCATTATGTAAATACATTAAAAATGCCTGCTGATGAAAAGAAAAATAGCAGCAGTCGCCATGGTAACGCATGCGCACTGTTTACTATTACTGTTGAGCACAGTTGAAAAGTGTGTAGACGCCATTAAATCAAAACCAAGACCCATTCTGCCAATGGGCAAAAAAAATTCTACATTTTATTAGCAAAGATAAGTTTGAGAGAATACCATTTATCGGCTACAAAGTATTTTAAAACTTGTACTGTTCTTCCTTACAGCACTATCAAATACTTGGATGGATTTTAGCAGTTGTTCGTTCATTGTCTTCTATTTATGGACTGTATGGGCCATCAGAATCCCTTTTTGTCCGATCATTTTACATAGGATTTCACCGTGTTGGCTGGGCGTCTGCCGTTGGCTGGGTAGCTTACTCGTGCATAGCTGGAAATGGAGGTAAAAACTTATGCAGTAATGCAGTGCGTTTTATGCAAATAAAGCCACTTTGATTTTGTGCCGAAATTGACACGTGTGTTTCTAGGTAGTTATCTTATGGTATATCCGGAAATTTTTAAAATACATGTTAGGAAGAAAAGCTAAGGGACAGCTTATATAATGTAAAAAGCATGGCTTAATCATTAAATTGACTGAAACTTTTTAATTTACAGCTATAAAACAAAATCTAATTATTCTTTTCTAAATACGTTTATTTTTGAATGGAAAAAAATTAAGATTACTTTCAACAGCTATCTAAATAAATAATCTATCTAAATATATTATAATCTTATCTAAATACATAATAATAATCTTATCTAAATAATCGTAGTAATAACTGTTAAAAACTGAACATATACAAGCTATGTTTTATGTTAATTAGTAGGAACTGCAAAGAGCAGTAGTGCTAATATAAAATATCCTTAATAGAGTTCCTATTTTTCTGAATTGAGTTCATTCAGACAAGGTTTCATTAGTAAGCTGTATTTAATCAGATCCAGTTTGTGTCGAGAAGAAAGTTATTGGAAGTGATAAAACTTTTTGGCAAAAAGTCAAAAATAAAACATTTGCTTTTTGGTACATACAATCAATTTCTGGCTAATTATTTTACAGCTTTAACCATATATAGTTCGTTCGTCTGGAGTTGGTACTTGGCTCCACCACCTTGTACGAAGTCCGCCTCCTCATTCCAGCGAGTAAGAGGAACAACGTCTCCGCTCTTGAAATTGACGCAACTCTTAGTGCTCGCCAAACACTAACAGTGAATTCTTTTTCAGTCACTTACTTCGCTTTATCATGTGCTATTATACCTTTCTTTACTCTAGCTAGTTAAATATATTGCCTCAAAATATCTCAAAAAGGACAAACTATTCACTCAGAAGAGGGAAATATCATATGATTTATGAAATATTTAAAAAATGCGCATAAAGATTGAAAAATAAATATTTTTGTCATGCGATCGCCAAAGAGCAAAATTGTTCAAGATCGTTTACATCCTTTTCCCAAAAATAGCGAAATAGTATCGTCGGATACCACGTGATAAAGGCAAGTGCCAACTCATGGTGAACGAGTTATACTCGTATAATGTAAAATATTCCTTTGTGCAAGTCTCTATCTAATGCAAATGGGAGATAGAGTAACTTATGGTCTTAAAAAAAAGGTTTTTCTCGTAAAGAATCATAGAAAAAACCCTTGTTTTATGAATTGATGCACCAAGAACAGTGTATCTGGTATATGGATTGTCCATTTATTGCTAAAGATAAAAAAAAAATATTTAGAAGATTTGTTACTACTTCCCTGTGCTCCTTTAAAAAAAAAGAAAAATATTTACCAGGTGACCGAAAAATGTTTGATAATTAAATAAATAAATAAATTTAACAATAAAATTTAAAAAAAAATCAAATCAAATAAATAAAAGAAATTGTGATCGCGGAAAGGCAATCACAGGTTACTCATTGGCAAAATGGTTGATGTGTAATTTTTTTTTAACTTTTAACCTTCTTTATTTGTGATATTCATCTGAATTGGTATTGAAAACGATCTAGTTTGAACTGTACGTTAGAATTTCTGATTCTTAATTAAAACAATAAAAACAAAAATATCGTTCGAATGATGAAATTCTCTTTTATCAAGAACTCAAGAAGTATTTATGGGAACTCTCTCTGGTCCCATAACTCAAAAATAAACTTACCAACTAAATGCATAACAAAATAAAAGTGAAAAAAAAGAATTCTAAAAAAGTTATCAAACAGCAGCTGTCGCCATAGCGACGCATGCGCACTGCTTACTATTCCTCTTGAACACAGTTGAAAAGTTTGATGACGTCTAAATAAGGTGCGAACGCCATCAAACCCAAAACAACACCCATTTTGCCAATGGGTTAAAAAAAAAAAAAGCTGTAGATGATAGAAAAATTCCCCTTTTTCCCGGTGTTGCTAAACCAAAGAATTTATACACACTAAATTTGCTAACAGATTACATTGGTAGATGAGAAAAAAACTATCAAATTGCCACCATTAGCAGCAACAATATGGTAAATTTTGAGAACAATGTTTGTAATTACCCAAGCAAATTTCTCAGAGTGGATGGCTTAAGTCGCTCAAAACATTTTTCGATGGCAGTGCTATTTGTTGAAGAAACTCATAATTAATTTTGATACTTGTTTTATAGTGAAGTATATCTGTCATTTTCCTTTAATTGACATTTTAAATTGTACACCAGGTAAGATACAGTATAATATATGACTAATTGACAAATTTAAGTAAACCTTAAATAGATTTTTTACTTAAGAAGTCGATGGAACTGACTAATCAATTAAATAGCCTGTGATTTGTTTTAACTCAGGAATTTAAAAAAAATAAAATAATACATTTTAGAAGTTTTTGTACGATCTTATTTTTCAGGCATAATAAACAGATTCTTATCATGGAAAGCATTCATTCCTTTGGGTCATTTGAGTTTCTTAGCATATCTGATTCATCCACTAGTTATGATTTACAGAAATGCCTCACTGAGGGAACGGGTGTATTATGGACAAACGGAATTAGTAAGTGCTTATTAATATATATATATATATACGTGCAGTGGGAACTTTATTTAACGAAGTCGCTAAATCCTGACAATAAGTTCGTTATGTGAAAAATTCGTAAAATAGAAATCACCATTTGAAGTACTTAAAAAACACAAAACAGGTTTTAAATTCATTAACGCTAGATATAATTAAAATAGCAATTGATACACCTTTATCTTGTAAACTAGTATCTACTGTTTATTTTACAAATCTTAACCATAAAAGAAATCTGCATGGAAAGCTGGAAATAGAGCAAAACATTATCTAATACATGCTGCATACATTTTCAACTAAAAAAAGCTAAATTAATGTATAAATTTAATGATAGCTGCAGTTATTATAAAAGAAATTTTAAACATTAATTACCGCATGCGTTTTTAAGTTTAATTGCTACTGATAAAATCCGTTTATTTTGTCTGAGTTTTTCGTTTGAAATGCAAACAAAAAGAGAAAGGGATTTTATTGCTTCTCTAAAAGTTAAGCGGCTTCAAAAATTATTTCAAGGTCGTTAAGAAGTTCATTTATTATTTCAAATTATTTCAAATGCGTTAAGNTAACGCTATATATAATTAAAATAGCAATTGATACACCTTTATCTTGTAAACTAGTATCTACTGTTTATTTTACAAATCTTAACCATAAAAGAAATCTGCATGGAAAGCTGGAATGGAGCAAAACATTATCTAATACATGCTGCATACATTTTCAACTAAAAAAAGTTAACTTAATGTATAATGTAAATTATAGCTGCAGTTATTATTATAAGAGAAATTTTAAACATTGATTACCACATGCGTTTTTGAGTTTAATTGCTACTAATAAAATCCGTTCATTTTGTCTGAGTTTTTCGTTTGAAATGCAAACAAAAAGAGAAAGGGATTTTATTGCTTCTCTAAAAGTTAAGCGGCTTCAAAAATTATTTCAAGGTCGCTTCCCCCATAAAATGCGTTAAGAAGTTTGAAATGTTCTGAAATATTTTGGGAAATCGGATCTCAAAGAAAAGTTCGCTAAACAGANTCCCTCTCGGTCTCTCTCTCTCTCTCTCTCTCTCTCTCTCTCTCTCTATATATATATATATATATGACCCAGTGGATACTATGGGTAAGTCACAGCGGTGGAGTAGCGGTCGCTCACTTCATGCAACCACAAACCCCTTTATTGGGTGGGTTACATTCACATAATCACTCAAAAGAGAGCCTTCCAATGAGTTGAAAAAGGTTCGAATCCCAGCGATACCTTCTTCTTCTTCTTCTCATTGGCACGACAGCCCAGGATGGGCATTGGCCTTCTCATCAAGCCTATGCCAAGACATTCTTCCCTTAGCCAAGGTTCTCCAGTTAGTTATCTTTAAAATTTGAAGGTCCTTTTCAAGGCAGTCTAAAAATCTTAGGTTTGGTCGTCCTCTTTTTCTTGTACCTGTTGGCCTGGCACAGAAAACTTTTTTGGTTGTCCTGCTATCCTCCATTCTTATAATGTGGCCTGCCCATTTAATCCTTTGAATTTTGATAAATTAGCGATACCTGGTCGATACGAATTCCTCATCCGGCTTGCGCCAACCACAGTGCTGACGTAAAATATCGTCAGTGGTAGACAGATTATGGGTTCGAGTCCCCTCCCCGTCGGCCTAACCGTGGGAGGTTTTCCTCTCCGTGTAACGCAAAAACGAGTTAGTTCCATCGAAAAAGTCCTCCACGAAGGCAAATTTCTGCCACTACTTGATCCAGGAGTTCTCTTGTCTTCTGGATTGGGTTCAAAATGACAAGGCTACGGAGTTAAACATTAGTAGTCGTAAACCCCAAAAAATGAATCGGCTGTTACGTGACGGTTATAAAATCAAACAGAAGAAAGGACGTAGAACACAGAAGAGAGAGAGAAAAAGTTACATCCATGGCTACGGTGGGATTTGAACCCACAACTACTGGCCCCGTGCAGTAACAACTAGACCAGTGATCGGCATGTTTCTTAATAGCCAAGTTTCCATTTTATTTTCAAACCGTTTACAACTCTGTTTAATTCTCTTCATTCATTTCTGGTCAGTCTTGAATGAGAGAACCTTTTTTCGAACACTCGAAACATGACGAATTTTTCAGTCTTTATACTTTTGGAACAAAATGAAGTTTTAACATTATCTTTAAAAAATGCAATGAAAAATGACAAATATTTCTTATTTAAATTGTAATTGCTTTAAGAAAATTGTATTTTTATTGACTAATTTATGTTACAGGTTTTCAAGTATTTGGTATACACACTAGTTAGTTTCTTTTTGGCCTTCATTGGATATATCACTGTAGAAAAGCCATTCGCCACCCTTGAAAGATTGATGTCTAAGACAGATTCATCAGAAACAACAAAAAATGCTTACAAATATAAGTTATTACGTTAAAAATACTCTATATTTTGTTTCATCAATACATTAAATTAATTCTTAGACAATCGTTTACTGGAACTATAGTTAGGAGCATTTTGGTAAATTCGTAACCAAACTACAATTTCTTCAGTATTTCTTAACCTCATATGTGACAATATTGTTTCTTGTGAAATAGATGATATTAATTATATCATTTGGATTTTATTTAAATTTTTATGTTGTTCATCTGAATCTTAAACACTTAATTTAAGAATTTCTCGAAGCACTTACGCAAATAAAAACAAAATCCATAGTATTACCTTGCGCTAGAATAACACATGTAATAATTTTGTATTTAAGATTTGCGTGAACATTTTAATATATGGCTAAACCAAATACTTGTTACACCCTTATAAATTAGTACAGCTTAAGGAAACTGCTCTTAGAATTTAATTATAGATAGGTAACAAAATTATTTTTTCAATTTTTTAAAAAAAATAAATTTTGAAATTTATGTTTTAAGTTTACTTAACTATCTTTGAAGAGGTTAAAATTTTACGATAATAACCTGACTTTGCAAAACTAGGAAAAATTAGTAATCTATTGGATGAATGTTATTTACAGTTAATCAAAAATAGACTTTTAAGACACTGAAAAATAACCTGGTTTTGCGAAACTAGCAAACACTGGTAGACTATTGGATGAATGTTATTTACGGTTAATCAAAAATAGACTTTAACCGCTTCCCTAAATTATCCCAAGTTGACTCTGGTATGTTCCAGCTATTTATTATTCCGAGAAAACTAGAGAGTAGCAGAATTTGTCAGTATGTTTTGTTTTATCATGTTTTTACTTGGCCGAGAAAAATTAATGAATAATATTGCTGAAATATGTATATATTGGAAGCTAATAATATTTATGATATATTGTTAATATATGAATAATATTGGAAGCAAATAATATTGCTGAATTTGCATGAAGAAAAAAAAGTTTTAAAAAAATGGCATATCATTTTAGTGGCATTTGGAAAGTATCACTTTTTGTTGTCTTTTGTTTTAGAAACCATCATACAAAGACTTACATGTTACTTTTTTCTGTTGCCCAGACTCCTCGGGATAGTAAATTGATGGTAAATTAAATGTTTTTACAAATAAAAAAAAAAAATTCGAAATTTCAACTTGAAACTTGTGTATTACGTTTTGTTTTAGTTCCTAGTATTTATTAATAAAATAAAAAAAATATGTTGATTTTTTCCCAAACAAATAAGATACTCAAAAATAACCTGGCTTCTAAAAACTAATTGTAAAAATTGGATGAATGTTATTTACGTTTATTAAAAAATAGACTTTAAAACAACCTGAAATGACTGAAAAATAACCCAATTTCATAAAACTAGCAAACACTAGAGACTATTAGATGAATATTATTTACGGTTAATCAAAAATAGACTTTTAAGACTATAGAAATACTAATTCTTAATATATTATACATAAAATCCTAACATGGTATTTATTTTTAGATAGCATATGACTAGTAAAATATATGTGTAAAATAGAGAGAATGAGAATATTACAAATTGTTTTGACAAAAAAAAACATTTTATTATCTTATATTTACAATTTATTTACAATTAGAAAAGCTTCTCTTTACATGTCTTGTACACTCCACAAGTAAGCTTCTTCTTCCGTCGCTTTTTTACTTGATTTTTGTTCAAAATATCTTTTTTCAAATCCATTTGATCTATCCACACCATCCCATCGATATCCTGGAGTAATACCAAACCGGTTAGGAGGAGGGGGTGGTCCACTGTATACAGGATATACTGAAATAAAAAAAAATGCACACTTTAAGATATTAAGTGTTTAACTTTTATAGTGAACAGAGTTTATACTTGAAATGAAAATTTTCCCCTGAGTTTTCCAAATCAATTTACATAAAATTCCAGGTTATAAAAAAAGCAGCAAAATTTATATTTAATAAAAATGTAAATTATATTTAATATACAAAAATAAACATAAATGTATAATAACAAACATTTGAAAAATAAAATGAAATGTAAATTTAACTTGTATCCCAATGTCAGTGATTTCAATTTAATGATTAAAACTAGCTTTTTAATGTTTTAAATACTCTATCAAAGACTGATATTTTGGGATAGTAAACTGAGGGTAAATTAAATGTTTTTTACACGTAAAAAAATTAAAATTTCAACTTAGAACTTGTGTATTATGTTTTGTTTTNAAAAAAAAAAAAAAAAAAAAAAAAAAAAAAAAAAAAAAAAAAAAAAAAAAAAAAAAAACTAGTAAGGGAAGCGATTAAGATATTAAGTGTTTAACTTTTATAGTGTACAGAGTTCATACTTAAAATGAAATTTTTTCCCTAAATTTTCTAAATCAATTTACATAAAATTCCAGGTTAAAGAAAAGTAGCAAAATTTATATTTAATAAAAATGTAAATTTTATTTAATATACAAAAATAAACTTAATTGTATAGTAATAAACATTTGAAAAATAAAATGAAAAGTAAATTTAACTTATACTCCAATGTCAACGATTTCAATTAAATGATTACAACTAGCTTTCTAATGTTGTAAATAATCTGATATTCTTAAAAATGCAATAATAATCAATTAAAAACAGTGATATAAAATTTAATGACTAAGATAATTTGTTATGCTTTAAATTTTGAGTAGTCAAAACAAAAAATATATAATTTTTCTAAAAATATTCTTTTAAAAGATTTTAGACGAAGTTAGAAATTTCAAACATATAGCAATTATAAGAGCAGGGCTATTTAGAATGCACAGTAATCAGGTACATAAAAAGTAACAGTTACAAATGAACCAAAAGCAATGGCATAAAAAAAAGTAAATCATATAGCCACAAATAAAATAATAAGAAGAGTAATGATAGAGGCCCTATACTCTAATTCGGTGTGAAGAGAAATAGGCGTGCGTGTATTAAGAATCATCGTAAGACTCTTTTTAATATTTTAAAATTACTAAAAAGTAAAAGTATGCAAGAAAAAACTAGCATTGTGGTTGAAAAACCAGTAGGCTTCCACTTTATGAAATGTTTCTTATTTATTCCTTATTTCCTCTCTCCTTGTTTTAATTGTGCATCGAAATCTTTTGTAAATGTAAGTAAAAAGTTGATTTAAAGAAGAAGAAAAATTCTTTTAAAAAAAGAAAAAAATGTTTGAATTTCAATTGTTTAAGGTTTTTAAACTTTTCCCCCAAGTTTAAATCAAATATGTTTATTTCCGCAGAGTTTTTGTAAAATTAAATTTAATTCTCTGAATTTTCTTTTAAATTAAACTTTAAAACCCAGAATTTTTCAAATTTGCCCTAAGGCAAACAAAAAGATTTTAAATTTCCTTATTAATTTATAAATATATATTTTTCTACTTTTCAAATTTTTTTTATTTCTCTTTTATTACATTCAAATTTTTTTATTTAATACTTTCTTTTTTTCATAAAATTTTTTATTAAGAATAATACAAGATACTTAGAGCAATAAGGCTCTAAGTATCTTGTATCATTCTATAGATAATGCTACAATTTTTTAATCATATACAAAGAGCAATATATTATTTTTATAATTGTTTTACCATTTACAGCATGTTTTTGCTTCTTTTTTCGCATATACTGGGCCATAGGATCATCATCACGGATTTCAGACTTAAGTTTTTCTTCTAAATCTTCATCATCACAATACCTGGCGAGTGGTTTTGATGTTTCATACAAATCTTCTGCTAATTTCTGATTTTTACTCTCTCCTTGAATCAAACTAAAAAGAGAAATAAATTCTGCTCACACATTTACAATTGTACATTGCGTTTTCAAAAATAAAATATAACAAAACTTCATATGGATGAAACAGAAGTCTTTATATAATATAAAATTAGGGCTTGCAATATTTTATTTAATGGTGCAGGGTGAACGAAAATTTTGTGTAGTGTAAGCTCATTAAGGAATGAAATTTAGTATGAAATTTATGTTAATAGTCATTTATTAATTTGCACAACCCAATTTCGTAATTCTGGCAGTCTTTTCTATAATCTTGTAAATCCAAGATTATATATATATACAGTGTAAATACACAAAAGACCAGCTCTATGTAGCGACCACCTCTATTTATGACCACTTTTGGGAGGCACAGAATTTTTTCCACATACTTTGTGTTGAAGAAAACCTTTATGGGAGATCATTAAAACCTCTTCCATTGACCGGGCAAACATCTGCACCAAATGTGGAAAAATTCAAATAAGGAAACACCAAAAAATATCAAAACAAAAAATGTAACAAAACAAATAAGTAGATTAAAATGTATTCTAAATATTTGAGTGAGGCTCTTATTTAGAGAGCTCTTTTTGATGATACAACTTCATGTTGCAGTCAGATTGCACTAAAGACAATGCTATCAATGATTTACTTTTAGAGTTGAATGTTAAATTAAAAGAAAAAAGTTATTTTTGAAAAAACTAGCATCTCAAACAAAAAAAACCTCTTCTCATCTTTTAAAGTTGACTAATTTTTATAATATAAAATTAAAGCAAACTTAAACAAAATACCTAATTGTTTATTTACTTAAAATATTTTTATCATTCATAATTGATAAATCTGGTTTTACACATAATTATATCAGTTGGGATAATTTTTATAGAGGCTAAATTTTACACATCGTAACGGCTTTCCATGACACCAACAGAAGTGGCATTTTCACACTAAGAAAACGACACTAACTAAAATTGTTTACAAAAAAATCATGTATCTTTGACAACAATTTTGAAGTCAATGTGAAGAAAGAAGAAAAAAAGCTTGAATTTCAATTGTTTAAAGTTTTTATACTTTCCCACCAAGTTTCAATTAAATATGTGTATTTTTGCTGAGAAGAATTAAATTTAACTTTCTGAAAATTAAAGTTAAAACTCATAATTTTTCAAATTTGCCCAGACTCAAATAAACCCTGTGTATTTAGATTAAACTTTTTGTTGCATTACATAAACATGAATTAAAAAAATAATGGGCAAAATACAATATGCAAATNATATATACATACACATACAGGGGTTAGACAAAATAATGGTAACACTTTTATACTAATAAATTTTTTTCTTCATATATTCAAGCTTTAATATTTCTCAAGAAATAATTAAAGCATAATTTCATAACTTCAGAAGTGTTTGGATCATGTGATTTCTCATTATTATCAATGAAATTTAAAACTTTTAGAGGCTTGTGGGACCAACAATAAATTACAAACAAAATATAGTGTTCTTGAACAACCTATGACAAAAAAGGTAGCAATAAATCTGTAGTAATTACTTTGGTTATTATATGTAATAATTGCACAAAATTTCATAAGTCTAGCTTAAATATTTATGGAAATTTGGACGTTTATTTAATAAAAAACTAATTTTTTTGTCATACAATTTTTTGCTATAACTTAAAAAATATTCAATAAAATTAAATGAAATTTTCAAAAAAATTAAAGTTAGTTACAAAATTATTGCTTTAAAATTAGAGAATAATTTGTTTAAAACTGTGAGGGATATGAGTGATTAAAGTAGTTCTTTTATACTGCGCATGCTTGAGAAAAATTTGAAATTTTTTTCTTAATTTTGTACAGAATCATCTTCGGAAACTGATTTTAAAAAAAATCATATTTTAATATCTTAAAAATTTCAAGCAATTTTCTAAGTAGTTTTTGAAATTTTCAAAAGAAATTAAAAATGATAAGGAGTTTTCTCTAAATATTATTTGTATCATAAGACAAAATTAATTACAATAAATGTTCACACACTAAAATATGATTGTATAAGGGAAGAAAACAGTAACACGCAAAAGAAAAGAAACAGGCAGTATAAAAGTACTACTTTAATTATTCTTATCTTGCACGATTTTTTCTCAAATTTTGAGGAACAGTTTTGAAATTAAGTTTAAATAGCACCAGTAAATTTGTTTACTTGTTGTATTGAATATTTTTAAAGTTGTCGTAAAAAAATTAGTTTTTTATACAAATGTCCATATTTCTATAAATGTTTAAGCTAGGTTAACGAAATTTAGTGCAATTATTGAACATAATAATCAAAATATTTGTTATGAGTTACAAATTTAAAGTTACATTTTTTGGCATTGGGTATTCAAAAACATTTTTTTCTATTTGTAATTTATTGTCGTTCCCTAAAACTTCTAAACTTAATTGAGAAGTATGAGAAATTGCATAACCTAAACTCTTCTATATTTATAAAATGATTCTCAAAGTAATTTTTGAGAAAGATCAAAAAATTTGTTAGTACAGAAGTGTTTTCCTTATTTTGTTCAGCCCCTATATATATATATTATACAGTATATGACAATACAATAAAAAAGATAATGCTTTTTAGATCCACTGGAAAAAGAAAGTAGAGAAGGCCGTGGTTCCCCACTTTCTTGGTTTAGTGGAGTCTTATTTTCTTGCAATTAATGAAAAGAATAGAAGATCAAAGATAAATCCGAAGTTGTTACGGAGAAATCTTCTGAGGAAGGTATTGGCCCACATTGGGCTGTCTGCCAACTATGATGATACATATAAATATATACAGAGAGAAATTGACTCCTTGTAGCGCATTGCTTTAGAAATCAATGGTCAACTTATAGTGAGGGACAAATCACGGTATTTTTCTATAATTTCATTCGAAGAAATTTTAGAGAAGTTTTATAGAAATACAATATACTGTGCGGAAGCTGCTAATACACAGAACTCTAATAATATATATAAATAGAAAACCAGAAAAGACCAAAGAAAAACATATAAAAAAATATTAGTTTTTAGAAATAATTTGTAAAAAAAAACATCATAGCAATTTTCTAAATTAAAAACAAAATAAATACAGAAAAGAAAAAAAAAAGATATCCTTTACAAAATATTTTGTTTTAAATTAATAATTTATTTTCTCCTTTTAACTTTTTTTAATTTCCTTTTCTGAAGTGTTTTCTAGTTTTATATTCATTACTGTTGTATAATATTTAGTAGATGAGATGAAATGAAATTAAAAATTTATCACATTTAGAAGAAAGTAACCATATAATAAAGTATTGTAGTATATAAAAATGATGAAAAATAGAAAAGTCTTATACAATAAAATAACAAAACTTTAGTACACAATTAGAATAAAAAGTCAAAAGCAGCCATTTCAGTTCGACCTGTTATTTCAGTAATTAATAATTTGAGCTGATAAATAAAACTTTTCTTTACTTAAAATATAAACTGTAATCAGCTGCCAAGTTGTTATGAACTCACAAAACCAATGCAAATTTCGATGTAATGTTTTCTCAGAAAATACTAAAGAAACTTTCTTTTTGTTTAGTCCTCTTTGTTATGGCGAGCACTTTAGCAGCTTTTTTTCTTTTACTGCATCTTTCATTTAAATTAACAAAAACAAAAGACAATTTTTCCAAATTTAAAAAAAAGAAACACATGTCAAAGTGTATACAAGAGGTATAAAGCAAAAATAAAAACAAAAGATACAATATGCATTTACACAGAAAATTTCAACCAAGAAGGGCATCTTTGTTAAATAAAATGAGAAAAAAATAAGTTTTTTGAGCAGGAAAATATTTATTCATTGCAATAGGTTTAATATTAATTAAAACAATTCTATTTTTATTTCAATAATCTTCTAGGCTTTCTGTCATGTACAAATTTTTAGTTAGAGGAAATTTTTTTTAGATTACTCACATGTTCATTTTTAAAAGACATTTGTTAATTTCATAAAGATATCTCCATTAAAATTTATAGAAAAACACACATTAATGACTTAGAAGATTGTTGTCACTAATACATACCCTTTACCCCACTTGTCATATTTCTTTTGTTGCTCTGCCAATTCCTTTTTCTTTTCATCATCGACCTTTGATTCATCTTCAAGATTCCTTTTTTGCCCTGTACGCTTATCTCTGACTACAGTACCGGCATTACGTCCAGATAACTCATCATCCAACTAAAAACAAATTTTTTGATAAATTAGCATATTAATTAAAACGATGATTTAGCATATTAGCATATTAATTAAAACAAAATCATGCACTTGCAATTCATGATTACGGAAAATGAACATGTATTGAAATATATAACGTATGATTAGGTTCAACATTTGCCTTTTGGTTCATTCAACATTAAAACACAATCACAGCGCCATGACGACATTGTCGCAGTACGTTACTGAGTTTTTGCAGAAAGAATTTTCTATTAAAAAGCAAAAAATTTTCTTTTCTACAGAAATTTACAGGTAATATTTAAATCAGTATTTTTGGCAGTTATTGATATTGATTTATACGTTGTTTTTTAAATATCCCGATATATTTCAAACAATATGGAAAATTCGAATCCTGCATTTGAGTATTTACTTTTTAAGGCAATAATTCTATGGAATTCTTGGCAGTTATTGATAAATTTCCATTTCTCCATAGTTTTTAAATCCGAAATTTTGTACACGATATTATTTATTACAACAACCTAATCTCGAAACGAAACACGCATTTGTAGAATCCGATCAGCGTGATTTTGTTCTCTATCTTCTTTTTTTTGGCAATTACTACTACGGATTTCAAGATTTTTTTTTATTGTGATGATTATTTACAAAATGCAAAGAAGGAAATAATGCATTCCTCTCTAACAAAATACAAGGATATCACCCACAATATTAGAATAAAAAAATATTACATATTCAACAAAAAAATATTTTATAGTTGATTTTCTTTTTTTTTGTTTGTAAACACAGCACTTTTGTTATTTTAAATTAATAACATATATGTTTGCTACTATTTAAAGTATCTTGCAGAATGATATAAGTGCTAGAGAGTTTTGTCACAGATAGCTTGAAAAACTTCTGCCACAGGGAACATTTCTAAATCAACTTCTGTTTTTTTAACATAGTAAATCCTGGGGATCAATGTTGTCGAACCACTAGGTGTTACAGAATCCATTTTAGTTTCAGACTGATAAGAAATCCAAGAGTGTAGAATAGTAATTGTTTTTCTATGAAAAATATTTTTTGTTATTCACTTAAAGATTTTGTTATTGTTTAGGGGCATTTTCAACAGTTGTAGAAATTAAGAAAAATTAGTCATTGGTTCAAAAGAGTAGTTAACTAAATATGAAACAAGATAAATTAAGAAATACAATAAAGCTTTAGTAAACTGATTAACAAAAGAAAATGAAGTTTTATATACATAAATAGCCATTATAATAAACATTCAAAGTGAAATTAGACAAAAATAATTTAATAGTACTGCAGATAGATGACAGAATTGCAACTTTTATGATGGAATCATAAATCTTGGTACACGTATACCCCATGTATAAAACTTTAATTCTGAATGGGAGGCCATCTCAGGTTCAACCCATAACAATAATAGCATATTCAAAATGGAAACCTCTGAAACATTTTTGCAACAATTTTGAATTATATCTATAAATTTCGTACATGAATTTTTTAAAAATTTTTTTTTCCAAAATAGTCATATCTTTAATAGATATCATTCAAAATTGTAAAATAAATAAAAAAAATATTTAAAAATAATGCATCACAACTGTTCAGGGATCGCATTTTGAATGAGGACCATTATTGTTAAGGGTCAAGTCTGAAATTGCCTTCCATCCAAAATTAAAGTTTATATGTTTGGTATATGTGTGCCAAGTTTTATGCTTCTATCATAAAAAAGTGTGATTTTTTAAAAAAACTATTTTACCATTCAGTCGGACTAAAATAAAAAATTAAGATGAAATAATGAAAATTGTGTTTTAGATCAAAAGTCATTATAATAAACAATAAATATGATAAAAGATTAAGGATGTGAAATTAAATTAAAATAACTTTGAGTGTGTGTGAGTGATTCTTAGTTATTATGAAGCATGCCAATTTGGATTAAGATACATTCTAAAAATATTCTGGCGTCAAACCCTATCTAACTCAGACCTCTAAGTAAAGTTAAACCAACTCTTAGATATTAATATAGAGCTTAAAAATCTGAATAAAATTAATACAATTTCTAAATAAATAGATAAATGTAAATTATTTTTTTAACATTCTGGTACTATGATAAATTTTATTTAGTTAATTTAAACTATGCAACTAAACAATTATATTGGTCATTTTTAGTTTCTCCAAATTTGTATAGTTCTCCAACTTTTGTCTTCCAGAAAAAATCTTAACCCTAAAATGCATCACATTCAATAAAATTTAAAAATTATAGTTCAGAAAATACACCTCTTCAATTCTAGATCTTTCTCTTTTTTTAAACTCTTTTGTTTCCTCTCTTAGTGTTACTGCATTCTGTAGGCCAGCCTTCAAACCAGAAAGCGTTTTCATGGGGCGGATCTCTTTATCTACGAGAAGAAAAAAGTATATGAATGTTAATTTTAGATGCATAATAATAACATACTTAGTTAATTTAAAAATAGAGAGTTCTGAATTAAAAAAACTGAAAATAAGTCAAACTGATGACTATAATTGAAGCTATTCTTTATTTATATAGAAAAAATACCCAGACTTCTTTATTTAGAAATAATACTCAAATAATTAAGCAGGAAATAAACTCCACAATAACCTAAGCAAGCAATAATAAATTTTAGAATATTTTCTAAAATATACAAACCCAGAAATTTTTGTCATTAATTTACAAGAAACTGGTCAAATCTAGCAGAGTAAGCAGCTATGCTTTCATGTACTGCTAGCAATGGTCAGAAAAACTACATTTCTTTGTAGTTTTAAACTACTTCAATATTGATGCAGTTAACAAGAACTATAGTTATTTTTTTAATTGTAGAGATTACAAACTACTTTTGAAATGTAGTCACTACTTTTAAGAGACAAATTCAATCACTCATATTCAAAATTACATTCATGTTCAAAATTAAAAAAGTTGAGCATTGAAGTAAAAAATTCATAAAAAAATTTTCAGAATAAAAAATAATTTTTTTAATCTCCAATTTTTTAAATGAATAGTATATTTATCTTGAATTAATTTCAATAAATGCTAGAAAACTATATAATATGTATGATTTTGTTACATGTTTAAAGATTAAATTAATTTAAATGGAAAAAAACAAAAACAATTTAAGTAAAATACATTGAGGATATCCTCATTACTTAAGATTTGCACTAATCAAATTTGAAAAATAAGTAGCACTTCACCCTGTTTTTTTACTAAACTAATGTTAAAAGTAGTTGCTAGGAAACTACTATTTCTTTGCATCAAACTACTCACTACGCAACTGTTTTTAAAAAATAGAACATTACACAACAAACTATGAAAAAAACTAATGACTACAGTAGTTTTTTTATTTGCAGAGCATTATTTCTGATCATTGACTGGATATTATACAACTCAGTCTTGGTGACTGTGATTTTTAGAGAAGTTAAAATTTTACATACACATAAAAAAAATTTTTTTTTTTCAAAATAGCTACGAAAATAGTTATTTTCCTTTAACATTGCAAAATAAAACAGTTATAACTTTGAAAAAATAAATCGGGACCAATATGTTCCAAAAATAAACATTGACAAACCTTTTGATTTCGTTTCTCTACTTGCAGAAAGAGTACTTTTTCTCGGTGGAGAAAGATCACTATCGTCATCATCTTTAAATGAAGGAGACTTTCTTCTTCTGAATTTTCTTTCAGGAGACAAATCGCTATCATCATCTTTAAAAGTGGAAGATTTTCTTTTGCTTAATCTTTCAGGAGATAAATCACTATCTGACTTTACATGTGAAGATTTTAGTTTCTTCCTAGATCTTTCAGGGGAGAGATCCCTTCTAGAGTTATCTTGAAGAGATTTGTGTCTGTTGGGTCTAACAGGGGAGAGGTCGCTATCGGAGTTTGTGTGAGCAGAGTTTTGTGGTTTAGGTCTTGCAGGAGAGAGATCACTATCAGAATCGTGCCTGCCTCTAGAATTGGGCACTGACTTTTTACTTTTTGAGGAGGGCTTAAACTCCTTTCTTTTTTTATGGGGAGAGTTGGTGGTGCCAAGACTGCTTTCTGTTTCTTCTTCTCCTGCAAAAAAAAGTAAAAGGTGTAGAAAAAAAGAAATATTCATCCAAACATACTTTATCTAAATATAACCAAAAAATAGATATAATAGACTCTTAATGTGATCAAATTTAATTTTACTAATATAGGGTGCACATCCAAATCTTTCAACAAAAAATAAGCACCTTTTAAGTATTTTTAAGCACTACATGCATTAACAAAATGCAAATAATTTTCAAAGACTTCATATGATCATCATAAAATAACTAGTTCCTAACAAAGAACACTTTTCTTCATTATATTAGCCATCATAAAAAGATCAAGAGATTTTTCGGTTCGATATCAGAGGGTGAAAAATGAAGCCTGAAATTGAGAATTTCTTGCAAAATGCAGCAGAGTTGCATATGAGAGTGCAAGATTCTCACCAAACCCAGCTCAGTATACACACATGCAGACCCACAGTACTCCATCAAACATGTAAAATGATTTGCGCTTTCATACGCTATAGGCCGACAGGAGGCCGAAATAGATTGTGGCTGAATGAATTGTGAGAACGTTAAATAGAACAATGTGAAAAGCACGTTTTTGAATAATATGTGGCGAAAATCAACATGGTAAAGAGAAAAATCTGATTTTCGAAAAGGGAAAATTAAGCACTTTTTAAAAGCACTGAATGAAAAAAACACCTTTAAGGGCTTCAAAAAAAAATCAAAAATAAGCACCTTAAGCACTTTTTAAAAATGCTAAGCACCACATAATAGCAAAATCACTGAACCTGTAACTTCTCAATTCATTTGTATGTTAAAATTATCGTTTTCTGCAACCATGTCATAGTTTAATGTTATTAGTGCTTTTATTCCTTTATTTGAAAATCATCTTAATTGCTAAAAATTATTTACTATATATTCAGAAGAAACCTGTTTTTTTCTTTCTTTGCATCATGATTAGAATTTCTGCGAATTCTCTCTTCTTCACTTAAGGTGAACTTTCTAGTGGAGGTGGGCAGAAATGTGGTGATTGTTCAAATTTAATTATGCAAACATTAGATTTTAAGTGAAATACTGATGTTATACTCCTGCTTTTGTTGGAGTTACAACTGCATTTCAAGGTTTATAAACAATCCAATAATGAAATATGTAAAAATAAATATAATGAATTGGATGACCCACGTGATTTGAATGAGTGATGACAATAACAATAAAAAATATATTGCTTTTTTAGACCCACTGGAACAAGAAAGCTGGGAAGGCCGTGATTGAGATGGGTAGACGTGTTGGAGTCTGATTTTTTTCAATTAATGAAAAGAATTGGATATGAAAGATAAATCGGAAGTCATCATGGACAAATCTCTAAAGGAAGGCATTGGCCCACATTGTGCTGTCTGGCTAATTATGATGATGACAGTTCTACACGGCAGTGAAAGAAAGATTATTTCAAAGCTTAGGAAGAAAAGTTTTTAGTCTAAAAATGTAAATTACTAATTATCTAAATACTATGATAAATACATAAATATAATATAGAAGGGAATAGAGAAATTTTAATAGTTAATGAGATACATCAAGCCTTCATGAGCAACTTTTATTCACCTAATCTTTTCCATCTTGAAGATTCATAAATTTCTTTAGACTTTATTTCTATGGGTCTTTCATCCACTACTTCTGCTATAACTGGACATTCTTCTTCATCTGTTTCTTCCTTGCTTCCAAATTTAATAGACCTTATATCAACATCTTCATGAACTATTTTCACACTAAAATATATATAAAAAAAAAGAAGAAAGTCAATAAATTAGGAAAGTTAAAAACGCGTTTAAAAATAATATAAATACAGATCTTTTAAACCATTTCTCTCACAAATGAGCTAACTTATAGCTTGTGAGCTATGTTTTTCTCCTGTACACAATTTCTTTATCTATTATTGCAAGAAAAAAATGTTTTGCTTATAATAAAAAGCATAAGAGTTGAAATAAGATTTCAAATGGATTGCTATCTAGAAGATTAATATGTCGTTCTAAAAATTGATAAGAAGAAACTATTTAGGAATATTATATACTTCCACAGTAGCTCAAAATAAAATATTGAATACAATAGAACTTTACCTAAGATAATGCAGATTAAGCATAAGGGAATCAAAATCTTTAAATTTATAGAGGTTTATATCTTTTTCTAATAATCAGTTATAAGCATAATAATCAATTATAAGTGATTATAATTGATTATGATGCATATAATCAATTATAAGTAATTATAAGCATAACAGAATCAAAATCTTTAAACTTATAGAGGCATATATCTCCTTCTAATAACCGATTTTCATCATCATTCGAAATTGAAAATCGAAATTGATACTTTAAAAATTTAAAGGGTTCAATGTGATTTAGATTAAAACAAAATCATTACAGAGCAAAATAAGATTCAACATTTAGTTGAGAATATACAACTTCAACTTGAAGACATAGTATACAGTGAGTAATAAAAGGATTTAGGAACATTAAATAAACAAGTTTCTTTGGTTAATTCATTTTTGAAAGCTTTTTTCGAGAGACAAAAAGAATGAGAAAGTTACAAACCAGTAAAGGGTTAATATTAATTGTATTCTCCCACTTTTTCAACTTTTAATGATGCATTAATAATATTGCATTAAAATTGTGGGATTTGAAATACCACAAAGAAGTGCATGGCATCAAAAAAAAAAAAAAACTTCAAACCCACTTAAATTCATAAATTAGTACAAATAAACTTCATCAAAAATGTATAGAAAATAATTAATAAAAAATTAATATTTTTTAAGAATAATTTCTTTTAAGCTAATTGAAACCTCTACAGTTGCGAACACTTCACAATATTACACTTATTAATTTAGGAAATTTATTAGTATATTGCTATGAATTTGAAGGAGATATTTCCGTACTGTGTTCTGTTACACTAATTACAATTGCCAAGGCACCTAATGGATTTTAAACTTGGTTTTAAAAAATATGCAGAGGTTTGACCTGGACTCGCTACGAATTATTCCCTACAAATTGGTCCCCGAATATATATATATATTAGTATTTTGCAGGTCTCTACTCAGAAATTGACATGACTTGGCGATTATTCAGCCGCAGATCACTAATATGAATNCAAATCTTTGAATCAAAAATAAGCACTTTTTAAAAACTTTTCAAGCACTTTACAAAAATTTTCAAGCACTCAAAAAATTCATATTCAATCAATGATATTATTGAAAAGCAAAAACTTTTTATAAACAGTTTTAGCGTCAAAAAAAAAGAAGAAAGAAACGGGCGTAAATCAAAACAATCAGTACTTTCCCACATCACCGAGTGAATTCAACTTGACCCTGAACTCAGAACAAAAGTACCCTTACCCCCTACGTCAAAAAAAGTGTTAGAAGTAAAATAAATTAAACAAGAACAAAATTAAAATAAATTAAAAAGAAAAACATTTCATAAGGATCCGATATTCTCTATCCGAATTGGAGCACTCGGGTTTCGGTTTCATGAGTGCGCGCATGCAAGTCATAACGTGGGTACGACATGAAATTCGCGTGAATAATTACGTAGCAAACTCCCCATTTTTCGTGAAATGCATGGGATCCACCAGATATCACTGAAGGGAAGAAAAAAAATTATGCGGAAAAAAAGCACTTTTTAAAAACGCCAGCTGAAAAAAGCACCTTTAAAAGCTTTTAAAAACGAAATCCCCAAAAAAGCACCTTTAAGTACTTTTTACAAACGCTACGCACCATGATTTTAGTTTTTTGCAGGCCTCTACCCAGAAATTTACATGACTTGGCGATTATTCAACCGCAGATCACTAATATGAACATCTTCTCAATTCGGAATATATTGAAAATCATAATGTTTTTTTATTGTAAATTACGTAGAATTCAAATTGCTCTTGGCCTTGAAGGCAGATGTCAGACATGGATCATTTGATATCCAGGGAAAATATATGTATACAATAAACACCAAAATAATCAGTAATAGTTTACCAAGAACCTATCAAATAACGGTAAGCATAGTTTGCCTTAACCATAAGTTTACGTCATTGTAATAAAAGATATCTAAAATATAGTGATCAGAAACGGGATTTGAACAAATTGAACGAAAATTATCGCCAAACCAAGAGTCCCCCGAATGTACATCTTAATCATATAATCGTAAAGTTTTGGCGAGTTAAGAGCTGTGGCCCACAGAAAACATAAAATCCTCAAAAAGGACAGACTTGAAGGATCTAACTCGTAGCGATTGTAACTGGTGCAAACAGACACCGATACGGAAATATCCCCCTTTAAACAAATCATTAAACTGTGAACTCTGAAAAACTGTTACTGAATCAAAATAAAGTTTTACGTAGGTAAAATGGATTTGCAAGTTTTCGGCTTTCTTTTACGTTTCTTTCCTTTGTCATCTCCTTCGATATAACGTTTTAAATATTCTTGCTTAGATAATTCAGAGCACATAGCAGTTGCTTCAAGCTAACAAAAAGTGAATAAAAAGCAATTCATAAATTCGTTGCAAAACTTCGTTCAACAGCACAGCCACAGGCGAAGAGTTTGTTTACTAATATAGGGTGCTTTAAGAAATGGATTGTGAAACTCTTTACTGAATTTTTTCAACTTTTATATTTGTTTCTGCGTTGTATAAAATGCAAGATTTTGTCGCTTTTTTGAACTACAACTGATTAAACGTTTGATTTGTAAATTCCTCAAAATAACGTTTTAAACTACTTGTTTTTGTTGCAATAAAAAATCGCTTAAAAAACCAAATGTAAATTAAATAGCTGGAACATCAACTTCTCAACTTTATCTGATTTGGCGCGAAGTCGAAGCTCCCGATATCTGTTTTTGTTATGTCCAGTTCCTTTTGTTTGACACTAATTGCTCTTTAAATTTTCAATATTCCTACTTAAAGTTTTATTATTTTTCTTTAAAAAATGGCTGATATTGATATTGATCAACGCTTAAGAGATATTCAAAAGGAGTACCTTGACTTTTTGGATGATGATGTACAGTATTAATGCCTTTTATTCCTATAGTTCACTTTTTGCTTCATAATTAGATTTTTAGTATTGTTTGCTTATTAAGTCAAAGACTGTTTATAAATTCTTTCCAAGTTGAGTTTTTGTATATATCATTGCCATAGCTAATTTTAACTATTAACTTGATTGTAAAATGTATGCTAAATTCCTATTTTTTTTTTTATTTAGTATTATGTTTCTTAGAATAAAATTGCTCGTAATTTTATTATTGATAAATTAAGACTTCTTTTAAATAGTTCACACTCAAAGAATACTCTTTGCTGCTATCTTGTCATAAGTTTATTAAATGCAGTCAATTTTACTTAAATTTTTTTATCATATCTGTCTATTCTAATTTTTTAAGTTTTTCAGTTTCGTAGAATTGATTACTCTAGTGGAAATCTCTAAAGACAAATTAATCTTTACTCACATTAAAAGCATCTAAGTCAAAATTTCTATACTTAATACATAAAATTATTTTAAATGTTAAAATATTATATGTTTTGTTTTGATCTTACTGATTCAGTTTAAAAATGTATCAAAAAAGTATCTCATTTGATTAGATAGTTTTTAAATTTCCCCCCGTTTATTTTTGTTTTGACCTTTTTAACTGAGCACTAAGACCTATTTTTTAATATTTATAAATTTTGTGTTACTAAATAACACTTTCAATGTCTTGATATTATGTTTGTTGAGGTAATTCATAGTGTGTAGAGTTTTTAAAAAGGGCTTAACGGTGCTTATTTTCGTATCTTAAAAGCCCTTATAGGTACTTATAATTGTTTTACATGTTTCATGAAATACTTGCGGGTCCGCAAGTTTGTATACTGAGTTGGGTTCGGTGAGATTTTTGCCCTCTCATGTGCAGTTCTGCTACATTTTGCACAATATTCTCAATTTTAGGCTTCATTTTCTCCCCTTGAAATAGAACCTAATAATTTCTCTATATTTTTATGGTGGCTAATCAAAAATAAGAGTTCTTTGTCAGAAACTAGTTATTTAATCATGATCATGTAAATTCTTTGAAAATTATTTTGTTATTGTATATAGTGCTTAAAAATATTTTTTTAGTGCTGAAAAATTACTTAAAAGGTGCTTAATTTTTGTTAAAGATTTGGCTGTGCACCCTGTAATTGAAGTAAATGATAATTTGGAACTTATAAATATTAAATTTTTCTTTCTTTGTTTTCTTTTTTATCCTTTGATTTTTTTTAATGTTAAACTTGTTATTAATTTTTCAAATTTCCTCTCTTAATTTAGAGTGACCAAGGTGTTTATAGTCAACTTGCTAAGGACTTAATATTGAGGAAAGGAAGACGAATGCTGATAAATGTAAATGACCTGCGAAAAAAGAATCCTGTCAGATGTCAAAGGTCCTAATTTTATTAGAAATTTTTTTCTTTAATAGTGATTACCCATTATATAGTAATAAACTTATTTCTTGTCATCCTAATTTTATGTTATTATAATCAGGGTTGGGTTTTTGACGTCAAAAAGTGGTTTTTGACATGACAAGGGTATAATACTGGTTTAAACCGTCAAAAACCCGTCAAAAATGTCAAAAACTGAAGTTTGCCAAGAAAATATATAAACTTCAAAACTACCAACAGTTGCCATGCATTATATTGAAATTTAATTATACTATAGGTAATCAGCAGGTTTTAAAATATTTTTTAATTAAAATTAAGGTAAAATAACAGATTTAAAATCTCAGAAATTTATATTCAAATGCATGTGCAGAAAAATTTTGCACAAAAATTGTTTAAATATTTATATTTAAAAAAAAATTTTTTTTTTTTTTTGATACTTAAGAAAATTAAAAGTTTATTACTATGCATTTTTGACATATAAGGAACATATAACTAATATTTATAAGGAACTTACAAGTTATGTTGTATAAATACAAACTTGATACAAGATACAAGTGTATAAAAAAATTTTTTTTAATGTTATACCGAATATCTTTATTATCCAGTATGTTAATTTGAATTTAAAAGTAGTTATATTTGTGAATAATGATAAATATAATTCATATTGTTTATTATATTTATTTATAATTATTACACTTATCATTTTAAAACAATTTTTACCTCTTAATTTTTTTCCCCCACTTGTATTAAGAATACAAATAATGCATATCTTGAAAGCAAGAAGTAATTATTCAACAGCTGAATATTTAGATATTCAACAAAACTATGTATATAGTATTCAGCAAAATGAAATTCACAAGTATTTGGATAAACTAAATTTTCAGCATAGTAAATGAATAGGCTGAATATACTGTAAATCGACACTAACTACTCTGTGTATTTAACAGAAAGCACTTAAATTTGTATTGTCTTATGTTAAAAAGATTATTAAGAAGATTTAAAAGAATATTAAAAAGATTTTTCTTTAAAAGATGTCTAATGTACAAAACTGCTAATGTTTATCTTTAAAAATGTCTAATTTTTAGTATAATCTATACTATACACTAAATTTGGTTATAAATAAATTTCTTAATAATATCACTGCAGATTTTCAATAACACATGAAAATGAATACATAATATTACAAAAGATGTGAGCTTTCAAAAGTACAAGATTTTGGTTACTATTCAAAATATAAGTGTTTCTTCAAAATTTTAAATTTATTTTTTCTAGAACATATTTAGAAACACTATCCTTTATAAAAAATATATAAATTTTATGTATTAATTAAATTTCACATATGAATATAGGTTTTTGACATTTTCGACATTTTTGACAGTGAGGTTTTTGACGTGACGGTTTAAACCATGGTTTAAACTGTCAAAAACTGTCACATGTCAAAAACCTGCCAACCCTGATTATAATGCTCTTATGTTGACTACATAATGCTCTTATGTTACTATCTTCATATTGTTCTTATGTTGCTTATATATATTGTTCTACCTCATAACGTTCTTATGTTGTCCTCATTACATGTTCTTATGCAACTACCTGTAAGTTAGTAAAATAATTATGTTTTATTTTCTAGCCTGTTGAATTCTTCCTTTGAAGAGTTTGTGGCATTTCAAAGAGCCTTAAAAGAATTGATTTCAGCTGCTGATCCAACCTATGCCAAAGATATAGAAGAGTTTTTTATTGCACTTGAAGGAAGGTAAATTAATAATCAATTGTTATATTTTCAGTATTAATATACAGATGTTCTACTTTTCTACAGAATCACTTTATTTTTGTCCAATATCCTTCATAAACTTAATAGTTGTAAAATTTCTGAAATTTAATTTATTAAACTAAAAAGCCATCCACAAATTGTTCAAGTGATTGAAGTATTTTATTTACCTGTTATATTTCTGAATTTTTATGACTCTTGAATAGTGATTTAAAAAAAAAAAAAGAACTGAAAGTTTTCACTCAAATTTTATAAACGTGAATTGAGTGTCATATTCTTATGTATTCTTTTTAGAAGATTAAAAAAAAAATTGAATGATAGAGATAACATGATGCATAGCATTTCTCAAAAGTATCTTAAGGTGCTTATTTTTGTTTTTTAAAAAGCCCTTAATAGTGCTTTTTTCAGGAGATGTGTGTAAGAAGTGCTTAATTTTTGCTTTTTAAAAATTAGATTTTTTCCCCATGACGATTGTTGTCAAGAATTACACAGGGCATTGTTTTGCTACATTCCATTCTACATTTTCGTAGTTTATTTCTTTATACCGATGTTTATATTGTGTGCAAGCTGTTGTTATTTTACGTGTTAGATGGTCCTCATGCATGTGTACTAAGCTAAATTTAGCGGATATAATTCTTGCAATTGCATACAGCTCTGCTGCATTTTTAGAGAGATTTTCATTTTAAAGCTTCATCTTCTGCCTCTTAAAATAAAAAGAAATTTCTTGAATTTTTTTATCATTAGAATCAATTAAACGTTGTTAAATCTTTTTTTCCTAATAGCAAGTTGAACTTTACTTTTTTCTTCTTGTTAATTTCTTCTTTTGTAACTCTTCATAATAGGTATGCTGCAGAATTTGTTGATTTAAATCAGCTTGATTTAAATGAAATGATTTTTTTGAAAAAAATAATTGATTTAAATAATTTTTTTATTTATTTATATTTATTGATAGTACAGTACAATCTAAACTGCGCAATCCCTTAGGAAATGCAAAACCTGGAAAGAAAAAAAAAACAATTTTTTTTTAATGTAGTCTGTGTCATTAAATTAAATAACCCAGTATTAGAATTGTGCTGTCTCTTATCAATAAGTATTTTTTTCTCATAATATGTTAACAGTATCTTTGACATTATCAGATTTTCTCTAAAGAAATTTTGTGAAAATAAATTCCAATGAGTGCATAGATTTTTATAAAATTTTTTAGCTTAACTTATATATTTTGATATAGGATTAAAAATGAATATTTTAATATAAAAATTTATAGATTAAATATTTATTTATTTTTTGATGAATGACTACATTTATAAACACAATCTGTTACATTTATTTTGCCATTTTAAAAATCAAGAGGAAAAAAAAGAAATCACAATTTTAAATTAAAATTGTGGTTTGCTAATTGAAACTTTGCTTTAATAATTAAAGTACAGGGGTCTGTCCGAGCCAAATTTACTACCGTTTAGAGCTACCTTCACAAATTCAACTTTAGGAAAAACTGTAGAATAATTTCACAAAATACTTTTTCTTAAAATTTTAGTTTTGTGTTTCGTAGGAAGCGATAAATACATATTTTTACAATATTTTTGTGTTGCTTTTTTAATATAATTTTTTATTTTCACAAATTATGTCTAAATTTTCACAAAATAGGTGCCTTTCAGAAAAACATAAACAGACCCCTGAAGTACTCTTTAAATTCTCTATTTCATCTAGTCTTTAAATTTCAATCATGCATTTGTTCCAAAATGGTTGCCCATGCATTCAAAGCTATGTATTATAACGAAAAATTATTTTAGTAAGTTAAAGCTCGTAAAATATTGTTATAATATAGTTTTAATGTTAATTTAATTTTGACTAAACATTTATGAAGTATTTTTAATCATAAATTAATTTTCTTACAGTGTATTTGAGTAAAAAATC